ACGGGGGATTCCTCTGCTGGACCTCAGAGTCCACATGACTGCCCAATACAGATAGCTCTTCCCTGTCTCACTTAACAGTGAGATTTTTGTTTTGAAGAAACAAAAATTTTAATTATGAAACAATTAGTGGAAAACTTAGATCATTTGGATTAGTGGATTAAAGTGGTGATTTTTTTTATAAAGCAACATAAGCAACAGCAGACACTGGTTGAACACTGGTCCACAGAGAAATTAAATTAGGGCAGTCTTTTCTAAGTAAGCATAAACAGGAGTAATAAACAGTAGATTTGACTAAATTAAAAAAAAATGACAAAAAGGTCAAAAAACAAAAAGAAACTTCAAAGGCAAATAAGGAACTGCCCAAGAGTATTTGCTACCTATTTGACTCCCTAAATAAATTCCCTAATGAATAAAAAGTGCTTCATTCAGTCAGGAAAAGATAAACATGCCAAGGGGAAAATGGACAACCTATAAGCACACACATTTCATTAAAAGGAAATACAAATTATGAAGTAAAAGAAGAAAAAGGTTTCACCATGCTACTAAACACAGTAATTCAAATTCAGACAAGTTATCACCTTGGCAAATATTCTTAAATGATAATGCCTGATGTTGAGGATGGGAAAAAACCAGGCACATTCACTCACCCGCTCTTGGGGGAACTGGGACTTGTTACAACATTCCGATGGGCAACTTGGCCCTGCTTTAAAAGCTTTTAAAATGTTCATTTCTTGGATCCACTAAGTTCCATCCCTTCTGTGAATTTATCTTAAGGAAACGATCACTTGACGTATACCGACTACTGCACACGGATTCAAGGTGACTTCAGGAAGACTGACAAGCTGGCAATTACTGCATGCACCTGCTAAAAGGACGGGTTAAATAAACCGTCCTCCAGAAGACAAATTATTTTACAATCAGAAAGATTTAAAGATTTTGTCATGGAGTGTTAGAGGGGGAAAAAAAAACCACCCTGGAGGAAATTATAGTCTGTCCATCCTAGTCTCTGAAGACAAAGGAGGGGACGGTAAAGGTGAGAATTCAGAGGAAGAGAAACTGTTTTCTAAAGACACTGCCCAACACTGTTTGTCACGCGTGGTTAACTGAATTTAAATTGAGGTTAAAAAATTAAAATTCAGTTTCTTTGTTGTATTAGCCACGTTTCAAGGGCTCAGCAGCCACAGGTGGCTGGTGGCTACTATGCTGGACAGCACAGAAGACAGTTTGAGTCAGAGCAGAAAGTTCTACTGGGGGGTGCGCAGACCTCTCCTGCCGCCCGCTGCTCCCCTCAGCAGTGTCCTTCGGTCCTTCCGCCTGCTCTGCTCCCCGCTCTGGCTCTGGTGAATTCTCTCGCCCTCCCGCGCTTCTGACTATACCCAGTGCTTGTATAAATAAATAAATCTTTAAAAAAAAAAAGAAAGAAAGAAAGTTCTACTGGACAGGGCTGGTCTAAACAGCCTCCCTCAGGGATCCTGCCATGGCTCATCACCTCAGTCTCATCTCTCCAGACAATTCCTCTCATCATTCACGCTCCAGCAGCAAGAGTGCAAGCACAGAGAGGAGAGAGGCCGCGTCTGTCTAGCTGCCCACTCCCGTAGGGCATGACCCCAGGTATCACCCTCCATGGCCGTGGAAGCGCAGACATGTGCCTCCATTGCTGTTACTGTGCAGAACTCAGCCAGGGGGCAGGGAAGACCTCCCAGAGAAGGGCAGACATGATGCAAAGAGGAGAGAAAAACTACTTTAAGTGGACAAAAAGAGGGCACGCCAGGAGAACAAGCAGAGCCTAGAGAAGACAGTTCATTCAACAGACAGTAAAAGTCAGTGACGCCCGGGGCCAGAGCAGCAACGCGGGCAGGTGCAGCCCCTGCCCTCACAGGGCTTTTACTCCCACTCAGCATCGCTGGAGCCACAAGGGTCAAGGCGAGGTGGGAAGGGCCTCACCCCTCATGCTGAGAGTCCGGGTGGCTGGTTCTGATCCCAGCAGCTGAACCCTCTTTCTGGCCTCACCGAGGACCAGACCCCAACCTCCTGTCTTTGTCCTTGCCCCCCACCCCGTCCCCACCGCTGCTGAGGGCTCCCCGAGGGCTCCCCGAGGGCTCCCCGAGGGTTTGGGCACAGCTGATGGTTTGGGTCAGACGCCTCCGGCAGCGGCGAGGGAGGACGGGGGTCTGCGAGGAAAGGGACGGCCGGGAAGCGGGGCGGGAGGGCCAGGAGAGGCGGGGGCGGGCGGGGTGCCGGAGCCCGGGCAGGGCTGCTCCAGCGCGGCCGGAGAAGGTCCAGCCAGGAGGAAAATGCCTGCAGCGAGGAGCCGGGCGGAGGGCGGCAGGAAGGCGTGTCTGCGGGCGGGATTCCAGGAGGGGGCCTGAGCTCTCCGGAGAGTTCCCGAGGCCGACGCAGGGGGCTCGGGAGGGGCCCCGGCAGCCCCGGCACAGGGAAGGCGTGGGCGGCCGCGGGGCGCGGCGCGCGGGGACCCCGGGGCGCGCGGGGACCCCGGGGCGGGGCGGAGCAGGTGCGCGTTACCTGCGGGCGGGCCGGGGCGGCTGGACCTGGGCTCGGGCTCGGAGCCGCGCGGAGGGGCTCCCGGGGGGCGGGAGAGGCCGGGACTTCGGGGGGCTGGCGCCCCACCTCGTCCTTGAGCGTTCCCAGAGGCCGGCGGGGCGCGTTCCCCACAGCCGCGCCCGCGAGCCCCGGCGCCGCCCGCCTGCCGCAAGCCCACGCGCTGGGGCGCCTCGTCGGGCCGGCGGTCCTGACACCCCACGTTCTTCTCCGCCGCGGCCCCCCCTCGCTCGGCGCGGGCTCTGGCCGGACCCCTCGGCCCCGCCGACGCCCGCCCGCGCCGCGGCCTCGGCCCCCGGCCGCACACGCACCCCCCCACGTGGCGGGCCCCGCGCCCAGCCTCCCGGCCGCGCCCCTCCCCGCTCCGGGTACCTGGGGCTCTCGAAGCTGCACCCCCTGCGCCGCAGCGCCGCCCTCTTCTGCCGCAGGAGCGCCGCGGCCGCCCCGCCGGGCTCCGGCTCCATCGCCCCGGGCGGGGGCCGCGGGCTCGGGCGCGCTCGGGTGGGCTCGGGCCTCGGCCGGGCTCGGCCGGCCGCTCGGCAGCGCGCCGCAGCCCCGGCCCCGCCCCCGCCCCGCCCCGGGCCAGGCCCCGCCCCCGCCGCGCCCCCGCCCCGCCCCGCACTCCAGGCCAGCCCGCCACGCGCCCTCCTTAGGGCCTAGGCCCCGCCCCGAACCCACCCTGCGCTCCAGCCACGCCCACTCCCGGCTCGAGTCGGTCCTCGGCCCCGCCCCCGCCCCGCCCCTCAGGCTCCGCCCCCCCGCGCCGGCCCCGCGGGTTTCCAGTGAGGGGTCGCGGCGCCGCGGCTCTGACCGCGCCCGAACGCCCCCCCGATCCTCGGGCCCCTCACCCAGACCCAGGCCCACCCATCGGCCTCTCCGCTCCCGAGCTCCGCGTGGCCTCGCCCTCGCCTCTAGCGTCGGCCCCTAGAGCCGCTCCCTCGCGACCCGGCCCCTCCACCTCAGTAGCTCTCGGCCCTGCCTGAGGTGGCGCTGGCCCCTCTTGGGCCCGCCCTTCCCCGAGCACCGACCGCAGCGCGCGCCCACCACCTGTCCTCTCCGGAGCCCGGGGTCTGCGCCGGGTCCCGCTCCCGCCCCCAGCCCTCCTCAACCCCGCCGCGCCGGGGCCCCGCCCACGCCACGCCTCCCCACGCTCCGCCCGGCACATGGCCCCGCCCACGCCACGCCTCCCACGCTCCGCCCAGAGCCTGGCCCCGCCCACGCCACGCCTCCCACGCCCCCGGCACCTGGCCCCGCCCACGCCACGCCTCTTCACGCTCCGCCCGGCGCCTGGCCCCGCCCACGCCACGCCTCCCACGCTCCGCCCAGAGCCTGGCCCCGCCCACGCCGGTGGTCCCGCCCACCGCCCTTGCCTCGGCCGGCGACCTGCGCAGGTAGGTTGCCTCGGGCGTGACCACGCGGGAGGCTGAGCACGCGCGGTCTGCGCCCGCCCGCCTATCCCGCGTCCGTCAGGGGGGTGCTGCGGTGCCTGGCGCGGGGAGGCCAAGGCTCAGGGGCTCGGCAGGCGCCAGTCGGTCGAGGGTCCTCGTCTAGACTCACCCCTTCGTCAGCGGCCTCAGAGCACAGCGCGGGGGCGGAGCACGACGACCCCAGCTGGGTAAACCTGGGGGTCCCTGTACCGTCCAAGTCGTGGGGAGCAGTGAGCTAGGGTCCCGCGCCCATGGAGCTGGTCCGTTAGGGAGGTGTTTCCACACTGGCCCGGGCTTGGGTGCTGGGGCGGAGGGAGACGTGGGGGGGACACCCCTGCGGGCGGCGCAGCCCCTGGAGCTTAGCCACTGGGGGCGCAGCCGGGGCCAGAGGCGCCCGCCTGACTCACACACCCTCGGTGCCCGCCAGGTGCGCTCCTGGTGAGAATGCGGACGGCCGCACAGTCCCCAGAGAGCCGGGGTGCAGAGAATGAGGGGCCGGAAGAGATGGAGCAGGCTCTCCATTTCCACCCATGAGACTTCACCTTGGTCCTCCCTCAGCTGCCCACGAGACCTTGTAAGCCAGGGCCCCCTCTGCCCGAGGGCCCGCCGGAGCGGGTTTCTGGATTTCGCCTCACAGCATAAATTTCCCGCGGCCACATCTTTTCAGATGTGGATCCCACACTCACCCAAAGCCTTTGCTCAGGTGGACCACGGGCTGGCTGCTCTGCCCACGCTTGCTCGTCCGGCTCCTTCTTTCCGTCTCCCCACCTTCTCCACAGATACCGAACTGAATATCCAAATGCCCCCTGCACTCCAAATCCTCACCAGATCTGTCCTCCCTTTGTCCCCTGGGGCCCACAGCACTGGCTCTGTCCCTCCCTGGAAGTCAGGTATGTTCTAGTCACTTCTTAGCTGGGTTCTGAGTGCACCACGCCTCCTTCACCTCTGTATCTGGCACAAGTGTTTGGTAAGTAAATGCACGTGACTTTAAAAAATTAAGCACTCTTCATTGGAAAACACATTTAATTTCAAAGTAAACAAAGATGTTTGTACATTAAAGTATTTAATTAGTGAAACAATTATCAGTGTAACAAGCTGAAAAATACAGCAACTTGATACAAGACTGAGGTAACAAAATACTTCACCAAAAAAATCTAAATAATCCCATGGAGGGCTGATGTTCAGTGGTTATTGCAGGTGAGACAATCCACAAGAATTAGAGAGAGTCCTTACACAACTGCATGCAGGGGTCGGCTGGGAAAAGAAAAAAAAAAAAAAAAAAAAGACAGCCCAGGAGAGTGCAACAGATTCAACAAGAAACAGATTAAAACGTAGAAACTGATTTCCAACTTACTTTGGAGAATACATAAGAAATTGAAAACTACTCTCTATGCAACATTCTGAATGCTAAGTGGAAAACCATGCATTTTGGCACGAAATTGATTAAAGATTACACCACACTAATAAATTAATTACTATTGTTTCGTTACTGAATGGCCACAGTTGTTCAGAAGTGGATAAAGAGATGAATGGTTATAGAATGGACAGATGATCCATCATGTTGCTGCAGAGAGCAGGGGTTGGGGTGGCCCCGAATACAGGTGCTTGTGCAGCACAGAGCTGCCAGCTGGTTCACGGTCCAAGTTTCGACACCCAAGGAAATGCAGCTCGCACTCATGCTGTTCTTGTGTTTAACACTGAAATTAAAACCAAAGAAATCTCGGAGGTAAATACTGTGAACATTCGGCCCTCCTTCCTCTTTCCACCTTGGTGTCCTCAGTGTGCCTGGCCTTGGCGCTGCCTGGTTGTCCTGTGACATCCAGCCACTGGGACTGTCACTCCATCTAGTTGTCACCAAAGCTGAACTCACAGATCGAGGCTGTGCAGTCTGTTGAGTCTTTTGAAGCCTTTCTGGAGGAATCTGCACAGGGTACTACCCAGTGCTAGAGATGGCGTGGCGAGAGGATCTGCTTGTTGAGTGGCCAGCTCTACAAGGGCAGGGATCAGGTCTGTCTTGTTCTTGGTCATTTACGTCCCGGGCACAGCCTGGCACTTAGGAAACACTCAAGAGAGGTGTTTATGAATGTGTGCGTGGGTGGATGTATGTAGAGGACTGTTGTTTCAAAGGGACGCCTGTAGTTGTTTTTCTTTTTTAAACATGAAATCACCCATTATGTCAGGAAGATGTGGGGCTGATTAAAGTCATTTAGGAACTCACAAAAAAAGAAGGTTGTGTTTTGAGCAACGGTCACCTGGTTACAAGCGTCAGTAATGTGAGTGCAGGGCTCTGAGCTCCCCTTGTGAGTGAAAGCAGACCCTGCTTGCTAATGGCTCCCCGCTTGCACGGACCATTTTCCACCTGTAAATCAGCACCCTAATAGATACACTTATTGGGCCCAGGAGGTGGGAGGGAGATAATGAAAGAAACACTGGCCATCTTGGTAAGAAGAAAAAATGCTTTCTAAATTCAGTTGGCAAGGGAGAGTGGGTTCTTTCCTAAGCGGAAACCCTTCAAGTATCTTCTTCTTTAGGTGCCACAGTGGCGATGAATGGGCTTCCTCCAGGAGGGAAGGGAGGCCATGCGCTGTCACTGGGGACACTCAGAACAGTATTTCTTGCTTGGCACCAAATCAGTCCTCCACGAAGGATTTCAGTTGTCAGGATGCACCGGTTGACTTTGAGTCACAAAACATGTCCAACTTAGAGAGGCAAAAATTATTTCCAGGGAGTAGTGGGCAGTTTTGGGGAACCAGAGAGAGACCGGCTGCCTACTCCATGGTTTGCAGACAACACTCTAGAATTTTCATTTTGGGGTGCCATGATCTGTTTGCTTAAAAAAAAAGATACAGCATATGCATGCAAGATGTGTCACCTCCAGATTTCATGAACACTTGCGGTCTGTGGACAATCAAGGAGCGTGAACCAGAAACGCTTTCCTCCAGGGTGAGAATCCAGCCACAGGCTTCCCCCCTCGGGGGGCTATACCTGTTCCCCACTGCCCCTCCCCTGCAGCCTGCAGGACACACCAACGTGCTGGGGAGGTCAGCAGCCCTTGACTCCCACGCTGTGGAGGTGGCTGTCCTTCGGCTCATCTCCAGGACCCTTCTGGTATGTTCCATGTTCTTACCACTACCATGAGGCTTTGCCAACAAAGTCTAAAGAGATTCCTCAAGAGTCCAAGTTAAGAATGCTTCCTGGAGGGGATGTGGGATCCCCTCAATTAGTGTCAATTAGTGAGCAGACTAAACACTTTGCAAAGAATTGTGGTTGTGCTATTTCAAAATTAGGCTCAGAGGAAAATATTTGTGAAAGGTAAGGGGCATCTTGTAAAGGGAAGAAAACAAGCTGAGAGTCCAGAGCCTGCCACTCTGAGGTTCGGGGGTTGGCATCTGAAATACTTGACGTGAGCAAAACCAGGCCAGCTTGAAGAGAGGGAAACCCAAGGGAAATAAGTCACTGATGCTCCAGTTTCACATTTTCATTCAAATTGACTCTTGAAAAGCGAGTGGATAGATTCCATGCCGGTTAAAGCAGGAAGGTGCTGCAGTGTGCTGGGCTCACTCGGCCTCGAGACGCTAAGAGCTGAGTCCTCAGTGTGGGTCAGGCGCAGGCGTCCCAGCCCCGGGGGCAGCTGGCGTGCTCAGCATCTAGGGCCAAGGTCTGACAGCATTGACTTTTGCATCTGGAGTTTCTCTTGGCACCGAAGTATTCTAGCCTTTACTCCAAAGTAGTTAGTTACTGAGCCCAGTGAGGCCCAACCCCCAAACAAGGCCGTATGACAACTAGATCCTCACAATTCATTCAATTTTCAGAAAGTCGGTCACCGTTTGATCAAAAAAACAGTGATGGGGCCTTTGGTCATTCATGAATTGACCTGTTACAGTTGACTGGTTAAGATGTTGGTTGGACATCTTGCCCAGAAATTTTTAAGGGGAGTTTGAGATCTGATCAAGTGAGCTCTGAAACAATGATCCCAGTAAGGACCCAGAAATTCAGTGTCTTTTGGAAAACCATTTAAGGGTTTTCTTTTCAGAACTAGGACGCCCAGATGAGAGGGCGGGAGGGAGAAAAGCTATGGTGATAAAGCTACCATAAAGCTAATTTTTATTCATTAATTTGAATAAAAATGTATTTGTGCAAAATAAAAGTCACTTAAAATAGGACAAAGAATGACAGATAAAGGCCCTTCATCTGTCTTGTGTGAAGAGCTCTTCACTGAACGTGGAGCTTGGGCTGTCCACTTCCCAGGCCTTTGCTCTCTCATCACCACGGTCATCAACAATTGTGCCCTTGGACCCGGATGATGGAGAACTTGCTGGTGACTGCGTTTGGGGGCAAGACTGGGGGAGCTTAAGGCCTCAGGGTCACTCAGCTCCCTAGCATCATCAGGAATCCCAGTGGGCCCTGCCCTGGCAGTGGAGGCAAAGGGGTGAGATGATGGAGCGAAAGCCTGGCCCTGCGGGGAGAGGTGGTGCAAAGAAGCTTCTGTGTGGCCGTCACGTGTGCCTGTGCCTCCCAGCTGCTTCCGAGGAAGCGGGAAGGAAGGGGCACGACTTCCCATTCTGCCATGGCGGGGAGATGGAGAGGCGGCCGGAGGAAGCCGCGGGCCAGCGGCCCAGTCCAGTCCTGAAGCCGGGTCCTGTCTCGGAAGAGCCACTGCAACAAGGCTCGGAAGGGAGCCGGGGGCCCGGGGAGCAGGCCTTCCAGATGAATAGCACCCATAGGAACAGAAAACGAGACACAATTTAAGGCATTGTTTGTTTACAGTGAAAGAATGCAGGGGACCCTCAGCCCAGAAGGGTCCGGGCTCCGCTCTGAGCTTCCTCGGGGGCCGAGGCAATCACTGAAGGCTGAAGCGGGGACTCCAAGCCGATGAAGTGTGTGATGTCACAAGTCTTGTGCCAAAATGCATGTTTCTCGAAGAGGTCACACTCGCCGGCTCTCACGCACACATCCACGGCACGCACACGCAGAGGACGCTTCGGGGGTGTACAAAATGTGAGGCGGCCCCGTGGGCGAGTGACCCCGCGCACTTGGGGTGTAAAAAGCCAGTTCCGCGGCCTGTCCCTTCTCCCTGGCCCCTCATGCAGGTTCACACGGTCCACTCTTTTGTGCAGGAGAAAGCACTCAGGACCTGGCTGGGCCGACGCTCTCCAGTAGAAGCAGCAGCAGCTGGTGGAAGGTCGGGGGCCCAGAGAGGGAGGGCGGGGTGTACAGCCTGGGGTCCAACCACAGCCCAGAAGGGGGCGCTGCAGAACGGGTGTGTGGGCAGGGTCTCTGGGGATCGGCACCCAGGTAGAGCCCAGGCCAGCAGAGCACTCTGGAAGGCGAGGCCGCCGGCCACGTCCCCTGGAGTCCAGCTGTGAGTCTCCCAGCACCCTGGCCAACAGCCTGTGCCCGGGACCTGCGCTTCACCCCCAGTCCCGGGCCGGGCTCCCAGAAGCCTTTGAAGTCACGCCAAGTCTTGCAGAGACTTATTCAAATGACATAAGGTTTGCAGGTACCTAGAAGAGAAAGCTCAGCCTCTGGTCAGAGTTCCAACCTTTCGGAAAGGAGTAAGGGGGGCCGCTCAGGGTCGGGAGCAGGCATTTCCTGGGGAGGCAGTGCCTGAGCCGGTCAGGTGGGCAAAGGGAGGGGCAGGAAGAAACCCCCCCCCACCGCGCCCCGTTGTGAGGGGGTCCCTGCGTGCCCTGGTCTGAGCTCTCCCTATGCACCAGGGCCTCCATCCTCACAACGACCCCAGGAGGCAGGTGCCAGCTCATCCCCATTCTAAAGACGAGGAGACTGAGGCTTAGAGAGGTGAAGCGCAGGGGGAAGCGGCAGAGCCGAGCTCTCAACCTCTGTCCAAATAAAAGCGCACTGGAGGGGAGCAGGGACAAGGCTTGCGGGGCTGGAGTGTCTGCTCTGGAGGGGAGCCAGCCGACAGGTGGCTGGTCAGAGGAGGGTGGAATCGGCAGCAGAGGAAGAAGGAAGTTTGGGGGTAGTGGGAGCCCCAAGACCTTCTCGTGGCTGTGTCCCCAGGACAAGATCCCAGCTCCCTTTACTGAAGGGACGACCAGCCCCAAGGCCAGTTATTTCCCCTCCCCTCAAAACTGCTAACAGCCCCCCCACCCCCAGCCCCAGCCCTCCTCCCCAGCACTGCTGTGGGGTTCCAGGGGATTTGATTACAAGCAATTTCAGCCCAAACAAATCCATCTTGGTATCAATTTGGTCAAAATGATGAATTAGAAAAAATGCACCTCCCTGCACCGGGAGATGGTTCCAGCAGCCCCAGCAGCCCTGGTCAAAGCAGCAGGAAGCAGGAAAGCATTGCGGAGGGCAACGCAGAGAAATGAAATAAAAATCAGTGCAAACGCACAAATGACAACACACAGGGACACAAATGGATCTTGGGAGCCCTCTGGTCCCAGAAGACTGGTCATGATTCTATTTGCAAAAATATTTCAAAAAATGCACCCCAGACCAGGTATTAGGGAGCCACATACAAACGCCAGCAGTTTAAAGGGCGGTAAATGGACAAATCAGGCAGGAGGGAGACAGGGCAGGAAGAGGCCCTGGCGGGGAGGAGGTGCCCCTAGGCCCCGGGCGGTCTGCTTTTAGGCTGGGTGTCTGTTTCCTTGCTGGGACTCAGACCTTACACGAGGTCTAAGTGTGTAAATGTGGTCCAAGAGTATTCAGTGTTAGTGAAGACCATTTGAAGAGATGCAATTGTACCGAAAAAGAAAATCCTTGTCCCAGTCACTGAGATTGGGCCTGGGAGGAAAGTGTAACCGCCTCCATGGCCTCTTCCTCCTGGGCCACCCCACAGATGGACAGTGGTCAGTCAGACAGACGACCCTCTGCCTCGGGATATTTAGTTGTTGCCAAGTTTCTATTATTACCTACGGTGGGGCGTGGAAACAAGGGGCATAAATGGAATAAAATGAAAGATCCCCTCTCCTGGGTCTGAAAATTGGATGAAAATACGCACAAGTGGCCAGACCTTGCCCCTGCGCTAGACCTGCCGGCACGTGAGGCAGCGCCTACGTCCTCCTGACAAACACCAGCTCCACTGCCGGGCGGCTCTGCCGGTTCCCTGCTGCCTGCTGTGGAGTGCCGTGCCCGCAGGCTGCCCCCCAGCGAGAGTCTGGGGCCCCGGCTCAGCGTGCCCATCGCTGCTCCTGGCCAATGCACAGGGCAGAGCCCATGGCCTCCGCCTCCCTACCCCCTTCAGGTGGCCAGGCTCGGTGCCACCCTGCCTCCTGGTCACAGTCCGGGGCCACCGGAGCAGTGCCATGTTCTCAGGGAGGCGCTCAGAGCTGATGATGCGCCCCAGACACACAGCAGAACCAGCACAAAGGAGGTCAGGATGCCTTTCCTCTCTTAATGCGACCCCAGGCCTGCCTCAAGGCCTTGCCTATCTCGCATTACCTTGAGGGCATCACCCACCAAACCCCTGGTCTCCCCATCAAGGGAGCATTCATTTGCTACTCTGGAGCCACAGGATTAGTTTCTTGTATTTGGTTTTAGAAACTGTGGCTGCAAGGCTATAATAGACACATGTCCTTTAACACACGTGAGCTCAACCTGTGCACACGGTCACACCTGTCTGACTCCTACCTTGAGATCCTTTGGGTGGTCAGCACACCTGCCTCCGCCTTTCTAACTGCTGCCACCCGGGGCACCTGCAGAGAGTCCTGAGGACGTAGTCTGTCTTCCTATCAAGGAGGACTCCGCCCCCTCACCACGCCCGTGCGCACAGGCGTGTACAGGCCTCACACATCCCAGTCAGGCAGGTGAGCCTAGTGACCCACAGGAACTCATCTGAAGCTTCCCCGAGACCCTTCAGCTGACCCCTGTGTTTGTCCTGTCCTGTTGTTTTACTTTCTCAAGGGTTATCTGCTAATGCTGCTTTCTAGTATTTTATCATCTATAATTTGATGTGCTTGTCATGTGTGCCCAGGTGGCCGGGCTCAGAGCTACCTGCCTCTGGTCACAGCCCCGGGGCCACCTGAGCCCCAGTGCGCCGAGCTTACCCACATCATAGATGCAAATCCTGCACAGGACCAAGCTGGACACAGAGCCCCGCACCCAGGGCCAAGCTAGACACAGGCCGCTGCAGCTCCGAGGGGCCGAGAAATCTGTGGGACTCCAGCACCAGCAAAGCCCCTCCTCGTGAGGACCCCATCTTGGCATGAACTCACTTTTGCTGAGGTCCCCCAGACCTCAGCTGCTCCCAGTCTTCCTCTATCACTTGCCCTGGTGATCTCCCCTCAGAGCGAGGGGGACTCAGCTGGTCCCCAGGGAACATGGACAGGGCGCCCAGGGACAGGAGCATCACCCTGACCAGCGGGCCGAACACAGCCAGCCCGCCCCAGGATGCAGAGGGCGGCAGGAGCCAGGGCGGTGCTCCTGGGCCTTTAGCTCAACCCCAGGAGGCTGAGGGAGTCTGCAGGGTCCAGGGGTGGGGGGCAGCCTCGCGTGGCAGGTGCACAAGGGTGGGGCTCACTGCTCCTGGGACATCACACAAGTGCCTGCCACTTTCTGAGCCTCAGTGTCCTCAGCATAAAATGGAGACAGTAAGAGAACTTACCTCCCAGGAATGTTGGGAGGATTCAGCCAATTCCTGCAAGTAAAGCATTTTGAATAATGACTGGCCCAGACAGGGGTGCGGGTGGTGGGGATGGGAGCTGAGCCGAGCCAGGCGCAGCAGACCAGAGGCTCTAAGATGCCAAGGAGCAGAAGCACCCCGTTCCTCAGCACCTGGCCTGGCCTGGCCCACGGCTGCCCCTCAATACTTCCGCTTTATTGTTACTCCGGGGGGGCTGGGGGCAGGCAGGGAGGCCTGTAATCGGGAGGAGCACTCCCATGGAATCAGCTCTTCAGGGGAGGATCTAGAAAGACACCGTAGCCTGGTTCTATCCTGGGTGGATGTCTCCGTGGCATTTCTTTTAGTGGAAAGACACAAGAAGCAGCTTCAAGGTTCTGGTCTGAACAGGCTGGGGTGTCTGCTGAGCTGGGGGGCGCCCGGCCGGGGGGGACTCTGTCTCAGGGGGAAAGGGTGATCCAAGAGCTGACAGACTGTGAGGGACAGATCCCTGTTTGCTAAGGCCCCATGGGCCAAGGGGGTTTCTGGGGGACCGTACCTGAGGCCTGTTGCTTTTACACGCATCGTCCAAGTGCTTGTGCCACAGGATCGCGTGGAAGCGGGAGCCAGCCTGGAACTTGTAAACATTGCCTGAGGGTGGAGACACCGTAGGTTACCGAGAGGCTCACCGGGAAGGGCCCGTGGAGGCTGTGGCGTGAGGATAAACGTGAACGTGGACGCGAATGTGGGAAGCTAAATGGAGGCCGCCCCTGCGTCCTGGGCCATCTCTGGCCCGAGGCTCCTCTGGGGATGCCTGTGGCCGGGCATAATTTTCATAATTTTCCCGGAATAAATTTTCAAGTGAATACGATAAAATGCAAAGGCAGTCAATAGCACACAATATGGGAACACAATGGTCAAGCTACTGAGAAACGAGTGGGGGTTCAGTCCGACCCCCGCTTCTTCAGCAACGCATTAATGAGGCCTCAGGGCAGGCTGGATCCTGCAGGGAGCATCAAAGAGAGGAGCACACAAGAGGTCCAGCGTTGCCTGCACCAGTATATGGCCCGTGGTTTAACACCTCAGCAGTTCCGCCGGCTGGGAGCTGAACTCGAGCCTGTGGCACTAGAGGTCAGCGAGGACAAAGATGCCATGTTTTGCCCTCAAGTTCACAGCGCCCTTGAACCTGATCTACGGGTTCTGGCCATTTCCCTCTGCTCGGGGACAGCGCTGTCCTCTGGGTTAAGGCCCGCAAGCGGCCTGGGCTTGCCGGGGACATAGGTCCTCAGGCCAGGCCTGCTCAGGCTCAGCCCCACTTCCTCAAACCACCTCCAGCCCAGACCCAGGGCCGCGAGGGAGAAGCACAAGTGCTAAGCGGCCCGGGGAGACACGGGTGTGGTGCTCACGCAGGCACCGGCCAGAACTCGCGTCCGCCTCTCCCCACCTCCCCGGCACCCTGAGGCTCCCGGCCGCCCTACTGTCCAGCTGAGAACACGAGGACCCTGACACTCGCGGTGCGGCCGCCCGGCCAGCAGCACATCTGCGTTACTTGGGAGCTTGTTAGAAATGGAGAGAGAAGCTTCATCTCTACCCCAGATTCACTGAATCCAAACTGCAACTTTCACAAGATCCCCGGGTGATCTGGATGTACACGAGCCCCGAGTCAGGACATTCGTGGTGCGGCGTGAAGACGATGGGCTTCCCAGCCCCAGACATTCGCCTGGCCAGAACCCGCCCAGGCCACGGGGTGACTGTCCTGTGCCACGTGCTGCCCAGTGGACTAGCGTGGCCTTTTCTGTCCACGGAGAGAGGATGGTGCCCAGAACCCCCCTTCCAGCACGGCCGTGGGGGAAGGAGGAAGTGGTGATGACCGCACAAAGCTGCAGCTTTGGTCCAAGGGCTGTTCTCTGATTTGGCCAGAGTCGCAGGCACAGGCCATGCCAGCGTGCAAGGCCCCTCCAGCCCCTGGTCACTGCCTCACCCAGCATCACATGACTTGTTCCAAGGCCCTGAGGTGACAGCTGCGAGGGTGATGGTGAGGACCCAAGCTGAGTAGCCACAGCTGAGGACCCAAGGGAGGTTCCTACAGCCACGCGCCTGGCACACTGCTCATGCACACTGCCCGGGGCACACACTGGCCACCACCCACACAGCTCTCATGGGCTCGTGGGGACCCTGCAAACCTCAGAACCTGAGTCAAAGGGAGAGCAACAGTCACAAAAGTTCCTGCTATTTCCAAATGCACCTTTAGCAGAAGAGGAAGCGGGGCAGAGACAAGCAGCAGGCACCCAGCTCAGGCTCTGCGCCTACCTTTGTCGGGGTTATTCAGCTGGAAGATGTCCGGGTGCTCCGGGTCGTCGGGCAGCTGCACCATCCAGCCCACCACAGAGACCTTTTTGCCAGGTGTGGATTTATACTGGGGAAGAATAACAGCACAGCCTGGAGGCACATGCCCTCCGGCCCCCAAGCCCCCAAGGCAGGCCGACGGGCAGCCAGGCTCCCTCCCGCTCCATCCTCCTGTCTCCACCATGCCCTGCACGTCACACCAGCGGAGGCCCCAGCGTGGACAGGCCGCTCTGGAACTTACGTGTTTTCGGTCTGTGCCCCGCAGGGACTTGGCTCCGTAGTACAGGAGGGTGGACCCCGAGAGTGTGACCCAGTACCTGGTCCACGAGGACAGCTGCAGAGAAGGGGAGGCAGAATGAGGGTGCTGCAGGGCCCCCTGCTGCCTGGTGACAGATCCGGCCCGCAGGCGGAAGCACCCCTCTAAGGCCAGTGCAGGCCCCATCTCTCCCCTGGCCCCGACCTCCCTCCTCCAGGCCACCTCCACCCAGGGCGCCTCAGCAGCGCCCCTGAGCCCCTCGCCCTAAGCCATACCCCTCTCTGGACAGGCTTCGCCCTTGGACCTCGCTCAGGGTGGTGGTCTGGGTCCAAGAACGTCCTGGGTGGGGCAGACATTTTAAAAACACAGACAAGCTAAGCCCCACCTAGCAGAGCCACATGCCTGCTGTGGGGCCGGCTGGCAACACATAGCCATGGTTTTGAGGCCTTTGTGGCCTGAAGTGGGCAACACTGAGAGGCCAAGCTTCAGGCGGGGGTTCTGTATCTTTAAGGGTGAAAGCAGGAGTCCCATTGTGCGTTCTGCTCCTTGGGTTGGGGACACCCACTTCAGTGGGCCTCTGGGTCCTGCCAAGGTGAAGCCACCATCCTGTCCTTGCGTCACAGCCTGCAAGGCCCCTCTCCAGCTGGGCGGCCGCTTCACCACCGAAGGTGAGAGCAGAGCTTTCACGCCTTGACTGACATTCACAGGTGCACAACACGCATGCAGCTGCACGGCCCTCAACGTGTTCGTGCGTGTAGGAACTCCGACATCTTCCGATCTAGTCCTCGCCAAGATTCTGTTCACGCCCCTCGAGTGGGTTCCCTTCCAGCCAGCGTGTGGGAAAGCACTGCCGGGAGGACAGTGTCGCTTCCGCCCCACGACGATGGTGCTGGGGGAAGACTCTTCTGCACCACACACCACCCGACACCATCAGACAGAAGCATCTAGAGGCAGCATCTGGGCAAGGGTCCCGGCATCTCCGGGGGGCTCTGTGGGCAGTGGATGGCACAAGAGGGCACCGGGCTGGGGAGGGAGGGCAGACATGCTGCTGCAGACGCTGCTCACAGCGCACTGGTGTGGACGCTCCACAGGGTAACAGCAAGGCCTCTGCAGGGGGTCGTGAGGCCAGGGACATCTGGACCCCGGGGCTAGTGGCTGAGCCTCCTGATGTCCTGGCCCTGTCCTCCCCACAGTGGCTTCCTGACAAATGGGGGGCTAGAGGGCGGTGGCATGCGGGATGCCCCAGGAGGACGTGCTCTGGGGCTGTGCTGCGCTCTTCTGGGCTGTGCCGGCCCTGAGCGGGGGACTGGCGTCCTGACCCAACCCCGGGGCCTCCAGGCTTCCACTCGGCTTCAGGCTAATCGCCAGCTGGTGTGCACTGCCGTGCCTCTGGCATCCTCCCCGGTCCCCCAGGCCCGGGCACGACCGATCTCCACCGAGGAGGTCCTGCCCTGCAGTGGGCGGCAGGCAGACCCTGGCTGTGGTCCGGGCGCCCAGGCTCACCGGCGCAGCTGCACTTACCGCCGGCTTCCGGCCCTCCTTCAGCAAGGTCTTCCTTCTCAGGGGCCCCTCCATGGTGGGCACTGCTGCTGAGCTCCCCAGGGCGCAGATGCACGGGCCGGTAGGGCTGAGGGGAGAACACCCGTCAGACCTCACCCCTGGGGTATTTTCAGTGCTGGGCAAGGCCAGGGAGGGGAGGGCCTGAGGCTGCAGAGCATGAGGAAGGTGGCCCTGGCCTCCCCTCCTCCCCCATGCAAGGCTCTGAGCTGGGTGACCAGGTTCCCGCGGCCCAGGCAGCTTGGCCTGCGCCACCCGTCCTGCCAGACGCCTCCACAGAGGCTCCCTCCTGGCGCTCCCCTGGCTCCCCCAGGGAGCTTGGGGCCGAAGCAGCCCCTCCTTCCCGTGTGAGCAAGAGCTGGGGGGAGCAGCAAGGAGCTGGAGGGGGTGCCCAGTGAGGAGACCGGGGCCCTGGGGCCCCACCACATTTTCCTCCTGGCTCCTTCCCACTCAGGCGCCCCCTATAGGTGAAGACATCCAAGTGCATCAGCCGGTCCCGCCTCCTAAGCCGGCCTGGCACTGCTCCTGCTCACCAGAGCCCCTCAGCCAAGCCTTCGCCTACTGCTCTTCCTCCTCCCCCAGCTGCCGGAGCCAGAAACCCGGCACGGAGGTAGGGGGTGTGTGCGGTGTTTCTTCTCTCATTGCTTCATCCCCACAACCTAGTCAAGCCTCATCCCCCACAGCCGACATGGCTCCGCCTACCTCTCCAGCCTTGGGGGGCCTACCCCGGCTCCCTTCTTACACTCTTATCACCCCATATGCCCTTTCGTGGTAGTTCCCAAGGTTCTTCCAGGCTTTTCTCAGGAGGCCTTTCCTGCTCCCCCTCCCAGAGTCCCCACCTCCTCTCTGGCACCTGTGCCTTCCGCTGGGTCTCTCCTGGAGCAGCGGCCTCACCCCTGGGGTGGAGGCCTCGTCTGCCTACCCGCCACGAGCACCCGGCAGCATTTTCTCCAATGAAAGAAAGCAAATAAATGAGTACCTGTAGACGCAGCTCCGGGTCCTGGGAGAATTCCGGACTGGAACCCGCCAGTTGGGCCCCAGCGTGGCATAGAGGCGTCCCCTGCTTCAGAGGGAAAGGGGTGAATTTTAGCAGCAGCCCAAAGGCCAGATCCTCCCAAGGAGGCCAGGGCATCCCCGCCCACATGTGGCCATGAGCTCAGGCGCCCGACCCCCAGCCTCCCCACCTCCTCAGTCATGCTGCAAGCACATCTGGGGCACATCTGGGGCTGTCAGGTCAGTGAACATGAGGTTCCCAGAGTCTGTGTCCGGAGAAGTCCCCAAGCCTGCAGATAATGGCGGCCTTAACTTTTTTTTTTTTTAAAGATTTATTTCTTATTTATACATGCTGGGGTACAGGCCAGAGGTGCGGGAAGGGTGAGAGGATTCACCAGAGACAGAGCGGGGAGCAGAACAGGCAGACGGACGGAAGACACTGCTGAGGGGAGCAGCGGGCGAGACAGGAGAGGTCTGCCTCGCCATGTGGGAATCTCCCTGGCCAGCCGGGACTCGAACCTGAGCTGCAGAGGCCGTGGACAGCTTCACAGCGCTGACTCAACCCGCTGTGCCACCAGGGAGGCTCTGGTGGCCTTAACTTTTGAACTGGACGGTCCCTCTTCTTCCAGTGTCAAGGGGGTGACTAAACCTGGCAGCCCACTTATGCCGAGGGGAGATCGGGACATTTCATAGAAAGTGCCGGATGGCCCGTATTGTCCAGGGTGGGTCCCGTTCAAGGTGCACATCCGGACAGAATTGGGGCAGCCTCGCCTGTGGGTCTGGGGAAGGGCATGGGCAACACAGCCCACTGGGTCATGCTGGGTTCTTCTGTGTGCCACGTTCTCTCCACCGGACAGGCCCCTGCAAACCTGCCCTGTGGCCTCCAAGCGTTCATGCTCCAGGCCGCTCATCTGGCTTCTCTCACCCCGCGCTCCCCAGCAGTGGCCTTTCCAGCGGAAGCAGGTAGCTTAACCTACGGGGGAGGCTGGCCCCTGCGCTCTCCAGTTAGAGCCACTCCCTGCGTCCACTCGCTGCTCCAACCTTCTCCCCACCGCAGCCCGGCCTACCCCGAGCTATCGCTGTCCTTGCCCCTGGCCCACGGGCGGGCGGAGACACCCTCACTCATTGCCGTGGGTCCATCCACCACAACGCAGTTTGGCTCCTCCAACGGGGCCGTGCTGCCCCTGCCTTCCTGTCCTCCCCCTGAGAAGGAACTGGTCTTGATGATCGTCTTGGGTCCATCTGCAGGAGCCCAAGTTCAGGGGGGTCTGCAGGTCATCAAGGAGGCCTGCCCCAGGCCCCACCAGCTGCTCCTCTTTATGAAGAGCATGTGCTTGGCCTCCCAAGTCCTGCAAATCACAGGGTCTCAGCGCTTTCCCCACCACGCCCCAAGGCAGATGACGGTCAGGGGCTCATGCCACCTCAGCCCACGCTTGCCATAGCACAGACAAGGCCCTGGCACGCCCCACTCCCAGCCCACAGGTCAGGGTGCCTGGCCCCGCTCTTCCGTTCAGAAGAGGCCGAGATGCAGAGAGCGACGCCACTGCCCACACGTCGCGTCTCTTTCCTTTCTGGGAAGCCAGGCACGCACAGGCTGCACGCTCAGCCCCTGCCAGCTGGGTGTGACACTACGACTGCCACAACCTGACACTAACCAGGCTGCTGGGTGACAGCTGGCCTCCAGGCTGCGTCCTTCCAGCCACAGAACCAGGGTTTCTGCTAAGTCAGGGCGGGGTCTGACAATGAGCTTTTCTGTAGTGACCTCCCTTCAGGCCCGGGGGGCTGCCCAGAGGCCAGATGCCCGACCTGAGCAGCCTCCAGCCCCCCCTCCACCTCTCCTCTCACGAGCCCTTCCCCGGCACCCAGGATGGGGTGGCAGCGGTGTGTCTGCAGTCACCAGCAGTTCCTCAGGGCAGCGATGAGGTTGGTGCTGCTACATCACGGACGGGCTGCTCCCCGCCTTTTGGGGACAGTCCACGCTGCCTATGTAGCAGATGCTCAGCTGTACTGTGCATTGACGGAGGCGCCCAACCAGCCTCTTCCACCAACCAGGCATTCCGGCAGTCTTTCCTCATGCTCCTCCTGAAGGAGGGAGGTGCTCCCAGGTGCACAGACAGGTAGGGTGCAGGGACCCCCGGGCTCGGGGCAGCGCATGGAGGGATCAGTCACTAGTGAGTGAGTGCCCACACGCCCTAGGCCACCACACACACGTCTCATCCCAGTTTTGCGTAAACCCCATTATCTTCCCCACCATGGGGAAACTGAGGCTCAGAAATGTGAAGACACTTGACTGGGGGAGGCGCGAACCTCAGAAAAGCCTGGCCTTCACTCTGGTCTGACTCTGCAGCCCGAGCTCCTCCCCACCTTTTGGAGCCAGGAGAAGCTGGTGCGTGGGGGGTCTGCCGTGGGCCTCGGTCTGTGCTGCCAGCCAGCCCCGCGTGGCAGGTTCAGAGGCAACACTTGCACGCAGGCCCTGCGGCAGCTCTCACACTCAACAGGCTTAGCAGCATCTGTGAGGCTGGACGGCCACGAGGTCCTTGGCCTCGAGGCTCTCCCAAGCTGGGGTCACCTCGCAGGTACCCGCTCCCTTGGCTGTCATGTGGCATACTCTTCAGGTGGCGTGGCTGCCTGGTGCTTAGAATAGCTGCCACTGACTGACCACTCACTGGGAGACACCCAATCTTTTTCCCACGAGTCCTCCCCAATCTCTGAGAGGTGCTGTCTTCCCACCCCCAACTACTTTAGAGGAGGAAACTGAGGCTCAATCCCACCCCACTGACCTGACGTTAAGGATGGAGAGGCAGGTGCCCAGAGAGGTTGGCTCATGTCAGTCCAGCTGCCCATCAATGGAAGTCAGATTCGCTTCCTCTGGGGCTGGGGAGGGAGTGGCCACGAGGGGCAGTGTGATGGTGACTTGCCCCCCTGGCCACTTTTAGGGGAATCAAGTCAGGGTTATGCAGGCAGCCTTGCCCCCACGGTGAACTCTGCAAAGCTGGGTTGAGATGGGGGTGGGGGGCAGTTCCCTCTGGGCCCAGGCAGGGTAGCATCAGCACAGAGGAGACAACATCTTCAGCCACTGGACCCAGAAAATGTGACCATCTCTCTGCCTTTCTTCCTGCCTTTCTTCTCTGCCTTTCTTCCTGCTTCCTTCTCCCTGAGAAGATTTGTTATGGGGATTTTCAGGGCCAAAACTGCAAAACGATCAGGCAGTGGCCTAACACGGTTCTCGCTCCAGAGCCACAGATACCTTCCCCAGCATCATGCTGGGAACGTTTCCCAGGAAGGCCTTTCACTGTTCCCTCTCAGCGATGGGTCTTGGGGGCTAGGGATAAGGCAGCCCTCCTCATGGGAAGTCTGGTCTGGGGAAGATTCAAGCTGGCAACCAAGTAGAATACTTCAGTCCCAAAGGGTCTCGATGATGATAACGGTGATGACGGTGCTGGTGATGATGACGGGGTGCTGGTGATGATGGTGCTGGTGATGATGGGGTGCTGGTGATGATGGTGGTGGATGGTGATGATGATGGTGATGATGATGGTGGTGGCGGGAGACAGGTAATGTGCTAAGCAGGGTTCTCCACCTTGTCTAATCACACAATACTGTGAGGTAGGCCCTATTCTGATTCCCACCTCATAGATAAGGAACTGAGGCTTGGAGAGGGAGCTGCTTGCCCAAGGTCACGACACCAGAAGAGGAAGAGCGGGTGGCACTGTGGAGGTGGAAGCAGCCAGAGGGTGGGCCAAGCGGGATTTAGATTAGCCAAGGCAGGTGTGGAAGGCTGTCCTGCCCACAATAGTTCTCGAGGGGCACATTAGGTTATAGGTATCCTGGGGGTTAAATTTCATAAACCCTGTGTTGATGCTGTTGCTGTTCTAGATGGGGAGCAGGGAGAAGTCTTGGGTAATAATTACATTGAGGGCTCAGTAATTTTGTCTTAGCAGAAGTAGCCCCCCGTTCTCCCTTCTAGTAGGAGTGTGCTGTGAGCATTCAGATGCTGCTGCTGACTGACAGTGTCCGCCTGACCTGTGCCCTGGCTGGGAGGCCGGCCCCCTGGGCCAGTTCCTGATGATTCACCATCACATGCAGGTAGGAAGCTGCCCCCCTGAATTCCGCTGGGCCCGGGGGCATCCCTGCTGGCAGCACTTGTTAAAGAAATTTTGTTGCTGGTGAGTTACCCACTCTTCTCTGGCTCATGTCCCCGATGCACTGGGTGCGCACCTCAGAGCCAGGCTGGTATTGCACGTTGAGCTGAGTGGCCAGAATAACACCTGATCTAAGTCACGTCAACTGGGTTTTCTCTCCTGGAGAGAATTAGGAACAAGCTTTGAAAGACAAAGTCAGGCTCTGTGGTAGGGCGAAGCCGTAACAGGTAACCCTGGGAGCTATGCGGTGCTAGCTTGTCCTCCGTGAGCTGAGAAGTCTCAAAATCTGGTGTGCACAGAGAGAGGGAGCGTCACAGAGGACAGAGAGAAGGACGGCATGAGCCAGGAGAGTCCAGCCCACTCTCTAGCACCTGACTCTGCAGAGAGGCTGTGGGCAGATTTCTCAGCTACCTGTGAAGTGGCAGCCACTGGTGGGCAGGGCCCAGCCCTTGTCTGTGGGGCCTGAGAACAAGGCCAAGCCGCCTGCCCTCTGCTGGGGAGCCTTCCTTCCCAGACTTCAGTATCTGTTGCTGACAGCAAGGCAAGAGTTGGAATCTTTGGGGGCCACCAACATTGGAAGCTTGGAGACTCATCCAACAGGACTGCCCCTGAGGGGACTGGGCAGAGCAGAGGTCGGCGTGGACCTGGGAGAACTGGACTGAGGGCTGGGCAGAGCGGGCCATGGGCCTGGGGAGCTCCTGGGCTCCACTGCGGGTGGGGTGGGCACAGGAGTCTCTGAAACCGCTGTTCTCAGGGTTGCCAGGATGGCCCCTAAGCTTGGCCTCCCTCTCCTGAAAAGCTGCAGGTTTGGGCTCACGAGGCACCCTGCACCCCAGCAAACTGGGGCATCTACCAGGTTCCGTTGAGCTCCTCAAGGAAGGAAAGGAGCATCTGACTTAGGGTAGCAGGTTTGGGCCCTCTGGCCACGGCTCCACTTCCCCAGGGTCTCTCGCAGGACACTGAGGTTTCCACTGGCTAAAAGGAACACGCGAACCTCACAGGGGCAGGGACTACATTACGCCACCTCCTCGACATCCCACAGTGCCTGGGCCCAGGGCACCTCTCCTCCTCCTCCCTGCCCTCCTCCCTCCTTTCACAAGGACAGAAAGACCAACTGACCAGTGCGGGGCTATGCTCTGTCGCTGTCCCAGTGCCCTCTGGCCCAGGCTGGGGTGCTGTGGTAAAGAGGTGTGTCTGGGGGCTCAGGATTTGGCTCAGCTCTGCCCCCGAGGGGTGTCAGGCAGGACAGGTCACCTCACCTCTCTGAGCCACGCGACCATGTGTGAAGTGGGGCTCCTACAAACAGCCACTTGCTCCTGGGGGACCAGGAGACCACGTTGGTGCCTGGCACACAGGGCACACCCACTGAGATCACTGATCACCCCGCTGCATGCCTCTGCCCTGTGAGGACAGCAGGGCGTGCTGCCTCCTCTCAGGCCATTTTATGACTGGGCTCTGAGCAGGCAGGATGCAGCAGCCCAGAGGAGGAACGCGTGTGTGTAAATGTGCACAGGAGTATGCGTGCCTGGGGCTGTGTAAGAGCATGTGCGTACACAGGTGGGGTGTGTGTGTGTGTGCGTGTGTGCGCGCACACGCATGCGTGCAGGCCTCGCACCAGGCACCTCTCTGCAGCATCCTGTGTCCCTGGGTGTCTCCCTGCCTCCCTAGACCTTGGGCCACCAGGACGCCCTTCACCTTTGCTGGCGCCATGGCTGTGGGGTCTCTCCATTCGCGGGGTCCCTGTCTGCCCAGAGCCCACCCCTATGCAGTGCCCAAGTACGCGGAGTCGGGGTGATGGGTGCATCCCTGGGTCAGAGGGGCTGCAGGGAGACAAGCTCTGGGCTGAGGTATCCATGGGGGTGCAGGCAGCTGTGACCACTTCTTTGTCACCCAAGGCCAGAGCCCATGTGGGTGCAACACCCTCAGGCCCCAGCAGGAGGAGCCACATGCCCGTCTCCAGACTAGGCCCATTCCCCGGCTTCTGGCTTCAAGAACCCTCATCTCAAATCCAATCTGCTTCCAGGTCTCCTGGGCAGCTCTGGGCTGGACCAACGGACGAGGGGGGCTGCTCAGAGCAAGGGGCCAGAAGTCCTGGTCCACGCCCACCTGCTCTCCCGCCCCTCCTAGCCGGCCCTGCCTCAAGTTGCCCAGAGCAGCCTCCCAGGGCTGGGCCAGTGGCTGAGGTGGGGCTGCCCCTGCCCTGAGCCTGTCTTCAGCTCCCTCAGGCACCTCCCCTGAGAGGGAGGCCAAGCTGAGGCCACACTCACCTTTCCAGCCCTGAAGACATCTCTTCACTAAACTCTGAGCTCTCACTACTGCCTGGAAAAGGAACACAGATCAGTGAGCACAGGGGCCTTGGAGGGGGTGCCACCCCAGAGGGGCTGTTCTCCTGGTCACCAGGCCCAGATCCTGAGCTCCATGGGGCTGGAGAGACAGCTTCTCATCCCATGGGCATCCATGGGGCATTAGTTTTTGCTGATGCTGTTTCTGTCTGCCCTGGGAGGGTGGAAAGAACCACCGTGTCCCCAAACTCCCTAGGCCCTCCACTCCCTTCCCACTTGCCCCTGAAGACTGTAGCTGCCTGCCTGCCGGCCCTGGGGCCTGGGTCCCCAGGCCTCTGGCCTGCCCAGGTGAAGCCTATGCTAGGAGAGGCCTTGCCTGGTGAGCACCTATTTCCCCGAGAGCAGGGGCTTGACCAGGCGCTGGGCACAGACAGCAGCCTGAGGGAGACACCTGGAGGGAGGCCCGTTCAGACCCGGCCAGTGCTCACTTCCCTTAGCCGGCCCCCCCCTGGGGCTCATGGGATGCTCTGCTTCTCAGGGGCTGTCCACAGCCTGGCAGGAAGGACTTCCTCCTGTCACTTTAGTGACCAGAGGTGCCTTGGTGGGGCGGCCTGCTGGCCCCAAGGCTGGGCAGTGGCAATGGGGCAGTCTGAGTAACGGCCCTCATCACAGGATGGAGGGGACCAGCCCAGCTCCAAATGGCATCAGCTCGCATCCACGTATCTGAACAGAAAAAAAAACATCTGAGCCTCCTGAGCAGAGGCGCTGAGCAGCTGCCTGGGACGTCCTGCCTGGACACGGGAGAGCATCGCGTCTGACTCAGCCTCTGTCTCAGGAGCAGCAAAGCGTGGGCCCAGGCCCGGCTCGGAAAGTTTCCTGGATGGGAAACAGCTGCTCTGCTGCCCCGCCGAGAGCTCTTGGACCAGCGCTTCCCAGAGTGGATCTTCAGAACCCCGGTCCCAAGGAAAAGGCTTCCGTGACCAGATAATGTGGGAACAGTAGGCTCGGCGCCTTCCCTGAGACCCGTGATGCCCATCGGCTGTCTGAGAAGAAACCCGCCCGCCTGGCTAGGCGAGCCTTCCCCAGCATGGTGGCCAGAGCCTTCCGCCAGGGCACACCCTGCCCACCCTCTGCGCTGGCCTGCACCCCTGACTGAGTCCAGATAGGGTGCCCTGCCCGGACAGAAGGCTGACGGGCCTTGCTTGTCGCGGATTCCCAGGGTAGGGGCAGCTACCCCTCAGAGGCTGGTCTTGTTTCTCAGGGACGTGGGACATGGGGTCCTGCCCAGTTTCCTGCCCCTACCACCCATGCTCAGGGCCCCTGCCCTACAGTCCTTACAGACCCAGCCCCCAGTCTGGCAGCTGGGAGGGCAGACGGACAAACAGACACAGACCACAGAAGCACAGCACACTGAGGGTGAGGCCAGGGGGCCTTGCCTTGTGGCAGTAATGATGGGTGGCCTGGGCACGGCGGGACCTGTGCCCATGCTTCCTCGGCCCCTACGTCCCTCTCCCTGTCCCAGCCTCAGCGGCGTTTTCTGTCCCTTCCGTTGGCACAGGCGCCATTTGTGGCTGAAGCTCAGACAGGCGACTTCGTCGCTGGGGCTCCATTTTTCACCCTCCCTAGCTCTGGGTCCTCAGGGAAAGACAAGGAAGTGAGATCCCGCTGGCCCGGGCCGGGCGCTGGGGCTCGCGCCAGTTGGCCTGCTCTCCACTGCCTGCCTGCCACGCTCGGGGGGCGACCAGCGGGATGAGGGCAGGCCCGGGGCACAGGGGGAGGCCTGGAGGCTGGGAAGCAAAGGCCTCCCTGGCCCAGGGACTGCGGCAGGGACCCTCTCTGCGGGGTGAGGGCCACCGGGCGCGGCACGGTGACAGAGACACACACGGAGCACACACTGGGCGGAGGCCCCGCTGCGGTGTGCAGGCCAGAGACGCTTACCTAGGGAGAGTCCATTGGTGACCGCAGAGGAGGAGGTGAGGGAGAGGCCCCTGCGGGGGCTGCGGGGCTCTAGGACACTGTCGTCCAGCAGGTGCCTCGCTTTCTCCGATGGGAATGTCGCACTTTTACTCTCAACTACACTCAACTGACACATCATACTGGAAAATGGAAAGGAAGAGAGAAGGCAAAGCTCCTTATCTTTGGAGCCACAGCGGTCACATCGGCCTGGGGCGGAGCCGACGGCGTGGCTGCCGGGAAGGACCCCACCCCGGCCTGGACATGTGCAGGCGCAGGCTGGCCCTGCCTCACCGTGTGACCTTGGGCAAGTCATCCCTTTTCTGAGCCTCAGTTTCCCCATCTGTCAATCAGGAATGTCCTGCCTGTCTCCCAGATGATGGTGAGGCTCAAGTGAGCAGACGGTGCTGTCAGAGGCGGGGCCACAGGCCCTGCGGTCAGCGCGCCCTGCGGTCGGGTCGGCACGTCGGGCCCTGGAGTCACACACACCTGCTCCAAGTCCTCGCGCCAACCTTGCTCTCTGCTGCAAGGTGCCTGGCCCTGTGACCTCACTGGCCTGGTCACAGGGCTGGATAGAGCAGAACGCCTCTCTCGGAGGCCTGCCTGGGCCAGGAGAGAAAGCCTGACAGGCACCAGCAGGGTCTGCACAGAGCAGGACCGAACACTCAAGAGCAACCACCTTCCTCCTGCCCATGAGCAACTCAGGGCCAGCTGGGGGCCGAGGCTGGTGTCTTGGTGGTGGAAGGAAGCAAAGAAGGAAGGAAGGACAGAGGGAGGGAGGGAAGGAGTCAACTGTTCAGGAACTGATGCCCGACACCCTGGGCACTAGGGCACACTGCCCCTGGTCACGTGGAGAACCACGCATGTCCCCAGTCATCTGCCCCATAGGGCTGGGTCAACCAGTGGCGCCTCGCTGCTCCACAGGCTCTCTGCAGCAGACGGCAAGCAGACTCAGGCCAGCATGGCAGGTGCCAAGAGACACCTAGCGCCATTCTGGATGATGGTCACTGTCCACTGGACTCGGATTGACAGCAAGGGAGGCACTAGCCAAGCTCCAGCAGACTTTCCAGAAGGTCTCTGCCCGCCAGCATGCTTCCTCCACCTGCTGCTAAGTGCGGCGGGGACTCCTGTTACCCCCAGGACAGCCTGTGCAGCTCAGGCCCCACCAGCGCCCCCGGAGCGGTGCCAGCCCGAGGGGAGGGTACCACCCAGGGATACCAAGAGCCCCCGCTGCAAGTCCCAGATGAGTGGGCAAGCATCTCCAGTGTCCCTCCAGCCCACGCCCCACACTCAGCCCTGTCAAGAGCCCACAGAGGAGGGGGCATTTTGTCACTCACTTGTTGCCCAGGCTGTGGCTCTTTCTGTGCCGTGGGACTGGGGGTGTCGGGAGGCTGCCAGCCACAGATGCGTCAGGACAGGTGGGCCGCCGGCCGAACCTCGCTGAACTGGTGCCAGTGGAGGGGCCTGTGAACAGAGAGAGAGTGACACAGGGATGTAGGTGTAGGGGTGGGGCTGTGAGGCCCGGGGGTGGGGCGAGCGAGGATCCCACATGCCCTGTGCTTCCTGCAATGGAGACACAGTTCTCTCCCACCCAGGGAGAGACCTGTCAGGACCAGCGTCTGTCAGGACCCTGCCCAGCACTGGGCAGCCCCACGGCTCACAGGGAGGTGAAGGGAGAGTATGCAGATGGATAGGAGACCTGCAGCCTCATCCCCTGGTGGGACTTGCCAAAGCCACACAGCTGGGCAGTCAGAATTGAGTGTGTCTTCTTGAGGGGTGCCTCACCCCTGTGCTCTCCTGTAGTCTGTTCTCTACACACTCATTCAACAGAAATGGACTGGAGGAAGGGGGCCAAGCTGGGCACCGCATCCCCCAGCGGGCACCAGAGGCTCAGCCTGCGAGGCCGCAGTCCCAGAAGCCCTCTCCCCTCTGGTTTGTATCGCTGCCTCTCCACTCCTGCAGGGCTGGGGTGGTTACAGGGCCCCGCTTTTCTGGCCCTGGCACCTCCTCGAAGCCTTTCCTGAAGCCCGTGCCTCCCTGCCCTTCCATCCCTGGGCCCCAGGAGCTCATGGTTCCCCTCTGGCAAAGCCAGGCTCTGGGCTGGTGCCCCGGGAGGCATGACCTGGGGGCAGGAGCGGGGAGGCTCTTTGTCCCAGTTCCAGCCAGCAAGCAATGTCTGAAGAACAGACGCCGATAGTGACACATGACCGTGGAGTCAACGAGGCCCCGCTGGACAGGAGAGGTTCTTGGTCTGGACTTTAGCAGCCCAGAAAGGGTCCCTGGGAGGTTCCTGAGCTGCACCAAGGCGCTGACACAGGGTCTAAGCTCCATGTGTGCGTTTCCCGACGAGGGGTCCTTGCTGTTACCCGCCTCATGAGGCTGTAGCTCCTCACCTGGGGTGGCACTCATTTGGGGAGTCCTGGGCCCAGCCCAGGTGATCTGGACGTTGCTCTCAGGTGACCACACAAGCACCTGGGTGAGCGGCACTAACTCTGGTCAGAAATCGAGCTCGTGCTAGAAGATGCATCTGTGGCTGCTTCCGAGGCGAGGGGAGCACGGAGCCAGCCTGCTCTGTTTTCATTTTGTACATATTGCTCAATAAATGAACCCACACGGAGGGAGGAACTGGTCTTGCTTGTCAGAAGCATGAGCGCGGGGTTAAGGCCTGAGTCACTCTGGCTCCCGCCCTGGGTTCGCAACAGCATCTTGCAAAGGTCAAGTCACAGTGCTCCTCCCACTCAATGTGCTCAGGACTCTTGGTGTTGCCACGGTAATAACGGCGGTAGCATGCGGAGGTGACCATGACAAAGGTGAAGGTGTCTGACTGTAGCAGTGCTGGTGTGGCATGACACCAGGGTGTGTGATAGGCACTCCTCCTCCTGAGCTGCAGCTCCCAGCTGAGGCCCTTGGTGGTCCTGTGTCACAGGGAAGCAAGCCAGGGCCACACACCCTCTCCATGCTGAAGACGGGACTCCAACGGGTACACCACACTCAGGGTGACGTGGTGGCGGGGTGGGGCAGGTGGGAGTCCAAAGGTCAGGTATTGGTGAAAACCTAAGAGCACAGTGACACACTTGAGGTGATGTGACAAGCAGGAGGCACTTCCTCCAGGAAACAGGCGCTGGCGGAGATGTAACTGCTCCTCTTGAGGAAGGGACTGACACCTACTGTGCACCAGTGTGTGCTGGGCTTGTACAAACTCCTCCAAGTCCTATCATTGGCTCCTGAGTACTTGGTGCTTTTATTATCTCCATGTTGAAAAGAGGCCCGGGGCACGCCAGGTCACACACTGGAGGGTGCTGGTTTGTTCCTTTAATGGGCTGCAAGACGAGAGCCGGGTGCTTCGAGGCTGCCAGTAACTTCATCGACCGCCTTCTGTGGCTCCACGTGCAGGCGCTTCCAGGCCTCCCTCTCACCCTCGATGTCTCCTGCTCAGCTCAGGAGACATGTTCCTCCAGGATGAGGCCCAGCCGACCAGCCCCCTGCTTCTTGCTGCTTGGATGGCTATAGGAGGCAGGCCGACCTCAGGTGCCCCTTCACTGGGCTGGGCTCCTGGGGGAGGACCAGAGCATTAGGCTGTGGTCCTCCCCAGCACAGTGTGGAAGCTGATGCGGAGGCACAAGCATCTCCAGGGATGGGTTGGCCTCTCTGCCAGCAGGTGACTTTGTGCTACTGAAAGGCACGTGCCCTGCCCGCCAAGCCTGGGTGGTCACCACGTGAGGGGGCACGTGTCTTCTGGGCTGTTTCTGGGCTGGGTGACGGCCAGTGTGCTTCTCCTCGTCCTTGGGGAGGGGCGGGGGTGGGCCTGTGACCGAGAGCCAGGGCCCTGGCCTCGCTCAGCAGAGTGCGCCCCGCTGCCTGCCTGATATGGCACAAACAGCTGGAAAAACTGACCGTGGGGCTCGACTATCTCAGAGGATTGCTCTATTTTTCCTCAGCATAATTTTTCCATGAATAATCTTTAAAGCTCTTTAAGTGGCTGTTTCTTCAGCAGTTTTATTGGAACATGTGAGAACTGACGGTCTCTGTGGGGAACGAGATATCATGTTGAAAAAAGTCTGGTTTTCATTACATTTCTCTCAAGAAGCCAGCATGCTTCCCCACAGGCCCCACGTTGATTGGGAGAGGAAAGGGCTCGGCCGGCTCTTGACAGTGAAGGCCTCGGAACCCAGAGGCAGCAGGCCTGGCTGCGCCTGCCACTTGCCAGCTGAGAGGCCTTGGGCAAGTCAGTTCCTCTGCAAAACAGGAACAAAATCCAATCCCTCCTGGCAGGGTTCCTCCTGCTGCCTGAGCCCTGGCCTGGGGCGGGGAGCCATGAGGATGGAAAGCTGATGGTCTTTCTGCCTTGAGAGAGCTCAGTCAGGGTTCAGTCAGGGGTATGGGCAGGGGGAGAGACAAGAGGCCGGATCACCACCCCCGGGGAGGCTCACATGCTTTGAAGGGAGAACATCGGTAGTCTAGTGACTAAGATTTGTAACTGCCATGACAGCTGACAGCCCCTGAGCGCTGATCAGGCACCAGGGACCAAGCTGAATGCTTGTGCGCAGGAGCCCGCGAGCCTCCCCATGATGCAGCACCCACACAGAACCCACAGAAGCCGCTGGCTGAGGAGCTGAGGGCTTAGAGCGCGCGCACATGTGTGTGTGCACGCACACGTGTGTGTGTGTGTATGGGATGGGGGCATGGCCAGAGCTGCGGGGTCTCCAGAGGAGCCCGGAGGGGAAATGAGGGGAAACCAGAGGCTTTTAGGAAGGAGCAGTGAAGTACTGATTCCCACCCTAGAAAGGTCACGCTGGCTGAAAAGCAGATGGATGTGGCCCAGGCCACAGGCTGGGATGAAGAGATGAGGATGGGAGCTGTCGAGGAGCTGGACGCAGCGGGCACGTGGAGGGAGGGACTCAGGGTCTCCATGGTGTAGGCCGGGGCATTCGCTTAGGGAGCAGGTTGGGGGGCTGGCGAGTTCAGTCTGGAGCCGAGGCCTGGGCCATGGCGCCGTGCACAGGAGACAGATGGCAGTGGGCGGCCACACGGGGCCTGTCAGCATAGGGGCTTGTGGAGCCCTGGCAGTGGGGAGTCCAGGGCTGTGAGATCAGTGAGAAGAGGGGAAGCCTTGGACCAGGCGTGGGAACCAGCGTTTGTGTGCCGGGAAGAGAAAGGCTGCACTTGTGTACAACAAGCGTCAATAAAACAACTACCCGAGAAAATTCTCACTGTCAATGGCTGAGGAGCTCTGAGGGTCTCAGAGCCCATGTCTGCTCTCGGCTCAGCGGCCCCCGCAGCACAGGTCACACCCTCCTCCGGGGCCAGCACCTCGGCCTCAGCCCCCATTCCTCTGGCCCGAAGGCCCAGCCTGCCTCCTGGCTCAGCCTGGCAGCCCCAGAACACTGTCCTTTCTTGTGCATCACAGCGGACAAGCCTGACATGCCCCAGAAATGGTCTCTGTTCAGCCTGTATGTTTCTCAGAAGAGAGAAATGGGGGCAAGCACTACCTATTTCCCCACTGAAAGGTTAAGTCAGACAACAGTGAGGACTTTCATAAGACTCTGGGCCTGAAGCCTCGAGCTCACCGTCCGAGTTCTCACAGAGAGAACCACGGCCCTCATCCTCCTGCCGTTTGCTCCCAGGGGGCCAGCTTCTTGCCTTCTCAATGCCCGTCCACTTGTGCCTAAGGAACAGCTGTTGACTGCATCTCTAGCTGCAGACAAGGGTCTGGGAGGCAGGGGCTGTGTCCCCAGGGCCTAAAGCAGGGTGGGGCGCGCAGTGAGAGCACCGGCCAGCCCAGGGTGCCTGACGCTGGGACATGAGCCTTGTTCCCACGGGTTTCCAGCAGCCGCCAAGCGGGCAGCCCAGGGTCAGAGTGCCCGATGTCCAGTCTGGCAGCCCTGCCCCTGCTCACGGGGCTGCGCTTTCCAAGTCTCACACATTAGAAATTAATAGGAGGCAGCTGGGGCAGAGGGGAAGCGTCCCAATGCAGAGTCACAAGACTCGCGTTCCAGGCCAGCCTCCACCCGGCTGCGCGGGAGCGCTGGTCCATTCTCCTCGGCCTCTGAGCCTCCGCTTCCTCCTTGGAGAAGGGAATGGTGGCCACAGCAATTGGGAACTCGTGAAGAGCCATCCTGGGTGACTGGAGGGGGTTCCCCGTGTCCGGGTTTCTTTCCTGCATGCTGGGAGCTCCATTCCCAGACCAGGGGCTTGGGTCCTCCTGGGTGTGCCAGTGCCGGCGTCGCTCCAGACATGGGGCCTCTGTACAGCAAGTCTGTTTGTGTTGAAACCCTTCTCTGGCCAGGTTTCCTGGTGGAGCCTGGGAGCTGGTCACTTTTACATTCACACACATTCTTTGTTTCTCATACATGCAGCTCTCAAGGGTCTCCTTGCAAGCCAAGATCTAGCTCACACGTCATTCAGAATGCCCTGCTCATTTCTCTTTGAAAATGGCATCCTGTGGCCCTTCAGTCAAGCTGAGG